GGCCGTCATCTAATGCTTTTTGATAAAACCTTTGCTGCCTTCACACAACAGGCCCTTGTGCATCCTGAGGTCTCCCCCTCCTCCCTCTCTTCCCTGCTCCCCCAGCCAGTCATCACCTCGAATACTTTTGCCTTTCCCTTCTAGGAGGAGATAGTGTTGCGCTATCACCCTAAACTCAAGATACCTGCGGGGTCCTCCCAGAACTGGGGCAACTTCCAGAACCAAGGCCGCTTCCAGAACCGTGTAAACCTGCTGGGGGACATCTCCCGCAATGACGGTTCCATCATGCTTCAAGGAGTGAAGGAGTCTGACAGAGGAACCTACAACTGCAGCATCCACCTGGGGAAGCTGGTGTTCAAGAAAACTATTGTGCTGCATGTGATTCGGGAAGAGCCTCAAAGTATGTGCATTTGGTTGGGGAGGGCTGAGGGACCTCCTAGCAGGTCAGCAGGGCCAGGACTAGAGTGAGGCCAGAGATGCTCCTAGGATGCAGAACAGAAGTGGGCATCACTCAGGTGCTGACCCTATACTCGCACAACCCTGAGAGTGAAGCCTGCTGATATTTGGCTCCGTAGGTGCCTTGCCCACCTCCCTAGTTCTGGCCCTGCTGCTAGGCCAAGGCAAAGGGAGCTAATATTTAGTGAACACCATCCCTCTGCCAGACGCCACTCATTGCCAGCGTAGTCAACTGATGTGAAGTTACAGGAGCTCAGAGATGGACTAGAGTTGATATCCAAAGTCATTTTACTTGGCATTAAGGGAGACACTGTATGCTCTGTAGAGGAAGGGAAAACGATCTTGAGCTGGTGAGGGACAGCAAGGAACAGAGAGAAAGCAGGAAGGTACCAGAACCAAAAATGGAGGGGTTTTCTGGCCAAAGGTTCTGTATTCTGGCAAACAGTGTGCATCAAGGCCGGTAGCATGTGGGAGAATCAAGACTCAACTGTGTTGATGGAGAGAGGTTGATAAGTGAGGGGTTAAAGTTAAACCACAACCCAGTTAGCAGTCAGGATGTGGCCTGTGGACTTTGCCTCTCGCTAAAGCCTTCAGGGGTTGGCTGTGGTTGGCTGGGGGCCGGGGAGATGGGGGTGAGGATGGAACGTACCTCGGTCCCCCAGGCCAGAGACTGAAGTCTGTGGAGGCACCTTCTTGTTAGTAGCAGAGGGAAGCAGGACAGATGGGTTTCTTAAAGAACCGTGGTGTCCGTGTGTGCTTTACTCTCAGGAGCCCTCCCCTCACTTCACAGAGAAAATACTCCAGCCACAAACATATCCACACCTCCCCCATTCCTACCTCTGTGCCTTCTGCCCTGGGCTTATCTGGCCCCTGTGCTCAGGTGGCATCGTTCTCAGGAACCTCGAAACACTGCTCTTTAAGCTCTCACTTTCTGTTGGTTCTGTTATTCAGCGTGTACCTTTGCCTAGTTCTTCCTCTTACCTATGCCCTTCCTTACTTCAGCTCTCATCCTATATTTTTCTTTTTCTTAAAGCAATTTTCCTGAGATATAATTCACAAACCATACAATTTACCCACTTAAGATGTACAAGTCAATGGTTTTTGGTATATTCACAGTGTACAACCATCCGCATAACCAGGTATGTATTTCTTTCTCGACAAAGCCAGATAGCTTATGCTTGGTGTCTTACAGTCTCTCTCCCGGTAACTCCCCAGTGTGCTGCATTCTGGCTCCTTCTTCTACCTCTGTACTCACCTAGATCACCGGTGGCACTCTAATTACCATCCTCGGCCTTCTCCGCCTTGGCAGTAGGGGACACCATATATACATTCTGTGTTGGACACAATTATACGTGTGTGTGTATGTGTGTGCGTGTGTGTGAACTCCACCCAAATTTTCCATAAATCCTCCAAATACAGTGTGTCCAAACCCCACTCACCTCTCCCCAGCCCATCTCCCCAGTGTCAGTGCACCATCCCGTACACAGTTGTCTAACTGGATGCCTGGGGGTGGATTTGACTCTTCTCTTTCCTGTGACCCTTAATCTAACAGGTCAACAAGGCCTTCATTCCTGCTACTCACTTTTGAAGCCATCTTCCTTCCAGTCTGTTGCCCCTCCCTCGGTTCTGGCTGTCTTCATCTCTGTCTTGGACTGCAGGCCTCCAGCAAATCTCTGCCTTCATTCTCAGCCACTGCCCCTCGTTCTTCGTGCCATTCATCATGCTCTTGGTGCCCTCTTTCTAAATCACAAATCAGAACTTTCTGTTCCATGGCTTATAATCTTTCAATGGTTTTTCCCTTGTCTATAGAGAGAAAGCCAAACTCTTGGTTGAGATACTCAAGGTCCTTCCTAACTTGGATCCTGTCATCTCTTCAGCCTAATTCCCCACCATATCCACAGACGCAACCTTGTGCCAGACCCACTGAACTATTTCTAGTTCCTAAAAGCACCACCCGTCGGCCTCCAGACCTTGTGCATAACATCCCCTCTGTCCTTCCTCATATTGTCTGCCAAAAAAGCTGGATGTTCCCTTTAAGATTCAGGTTGAACTTTAAAACCTTTGCTGGCAAATTCTCATCTTCTGCTCCATGTAGAATTGGGCACCCTTTTCTCCGTGTCCCTCTGTGCCCCATACAGACTCCTGTCATACCTGTGGCAGCCTGTGGTTTTCTGTTTACATGTTTGTCTCCCTCCTTGGAGGCAGGGACCAGGCATCATTCATCTTTGAATCCTCTGTGCCTCGTGCTGTCCGCCACTGAGGAGGTGTTTGATATATATATATTTAGAGTGAACAGAGGAGATGAGTAAAGGGTACCATATGGGCAGAAGTGCCTCTGAAGGCTTTACTTGGTATCATGACTATGGGGCTGAGAGTTGTAGCACGTGTTCTTTTGAATACAATCACTTGTCTATAGAAAGATCAGCAGCCTCTAAGATGCCTGTTATTTCTGGGTCATTTGGTAAACCAATTTTTTTTTTTTTTTTTTTTTTTTGAGACAGAGTCTCACTCTGTTGCCCAGGCTAGAGTGCCGTGGCATCATCCTCGCTCACAGCAACCTCAAACTCCTGGGCTCAAGCAATCCTTCTGTCTCAGCCTCCCGAGTAGCTGGGACTACAGGCATGTGCCACCATGCCCGGCTAATTTTTTCTATATATTTTTAGTTGTCCAATTAATTTCTTTCTATTTTTAGTAGAGACGGGGTCTCGCTCTTGCTCAGGCTGGTTTCGAACTCCTGAGCTCAAACAATCCGCCCGCCTCGGCCTCCCAGAGTGCTAGGATTACAGGCGTGAGCCACCATGCCTGGCCGGTAAACCAAATTTTAAAATAGAATTGTTGATGTAAAAGGAGACGCTAGTATAGATGAAGTGCTAGCCTCTTCTCCCACTCACCTTAATCCACATTTTAGGGGTAAGCAAGGGAGTCACACTTTTGGTTCTCAAACTACTGAAGACAGTGTCCCCACTGTCTCGATACAAGGTGGAGTCTGGCCTTCTCCCTCTGCTTCCTGACCTGGGTGTTGCTACTTGGTACAGAACTGATGGGGCTCCCAGCTCTTTTCTGCGGTACTGAGACCCTCTTGTTGCTTTTCTCCTTTCCCAAGCATTAGTGACCCCAGCAGCCCTTGGGCCTGTGATCCTGGGCGGTAATCACATGGTGATCATCGTGGGGATTGTCTGTGGCACCATCCTGCTGCTCGCTGTTTTGATACTGATCGTGAAGAAGACCCATGGGAATAAGAGGTACAGGGCTGTCCTCACCCCTTGGGTTGGGAGGCTGGGGGTGCAGGGCTGCCTCTAAGGCTAAGTGGAAGAGAGTATAGAGTCCTAAAACTGTGCCATTCTCACAGAAGGGGAATTTTTAAATGGAATCATCTATGACTGTCACATTAGATGTCCTTATATAGTAATCCCAACCCCTTTGCTCACTGTGCCCCTGAAAATACTTGGACATTCCTCCACCAACCTCATTCACTTTGGTGTTATGCAAAGATTACAAACTCCCTTACAAGTGGGGCTCTATGTAGAACATAATTAAGAGTATAAATCTTATGCAAGAACTATCATGGTACCATTCATTGCCTGAGAGAAATGATGTTTGAATTATTCACACTGCATGTTTCACATAGAAGCTAAGATCTTGAGGGTTGCCAGTGGTTTTATTTAAAGCACCACATTCCAATTATGAGAGGCTGTTTTTGAATGGATGCAAATTATTGCTGGAATGTGTTTTTAAAGGCCTGAATTTCATCAGTAGTTTTCCCAGGGTCTTGGAGACACCCAGATGCTCTGACATGGACACTAATATTTCCCTGGCTGTTGGCAGATCCCTTTCCCTCAGTTGACCCAACTGTTGATGACATATGCCAGTAGGGCAGATTGACCCTCTTGTTGAAATGTGTCAATGGGAAAGGAACTCCATGAAATAATGCTGACTTTTGAGTGTTCTGATTTGCTCTCTGATTTGGTTTTGAACTTGGTTGGCCTCTCTGAGGGTCTTTGCTCTGGGCACGCTGAGAGCACTGAATGGAGAGCTAGAAAACTTGGGTTCCATTATCAGCTTGCTTGCCCTCTCTGGGCCTCAGTTTCCTTCAAAAGAAATGGCAGCATTTCCATGTCTAGTGGGTTATTCTAAAGAAATAATCAGATGAATACACTGAGATTTGTGCATAAATGTGGTCACTGCAGCATCGCTTGTAATTAAAAATTGGAATCATCGTCAGTGCCTGTCAGAAAGACAGTGATTCAGTGAATCAGTATTTCACTCAGTGAAACACTGCACAACCCTGTATGTGACCTGGAAAGACAGCCAAGGGGTAATAATATACAATATATAGCATGATCTCGTTTTATAAAAGAGAAAATAATATAGTGCTCACTTCAGCAACATAGATACTAAATATATTTTATGTGAGTTCACTTATGCTTGCATTGAGAGAGGATTGGAAGGATAATTCTAAAATACTAAGTGGTGTTTGAGATAAAGGAGAAGATGGATCCCATGAGGTGAGGGGTTTATTGGCAGCTTCAACTTCCAACATTTCTGTGTTATCTAAATGATTTTACAATGAGAATATACAGCTTTATAATCAGAAAATATGGGGAAAAAGTTCACTTTGAGACCAAAAAAAAAGAAATGTGGTTTCTTTTCTAAGCTTGAACCCTGATTTTTTTTCCAACCCTCCACTGCCTTCCCCTCTCCTCTCCTCTTCCCTTCCCTCCCCTTCCTTCTCCTCTCCTCTTCCCTTTCCTTTCCTCTCCCCTCTCCCCTCCTCTCCTCTCTGTTCCTTTCTTTCTTTTTTTTTTAGCTTTGCCTTAGGCCAAAAGGTGGCATGTGCTGAAGGCAAACGGACAAGAGATCAAAGGCCAAGGGCCGAGACCTGGAAGGGGCCAGACTCCCAGCTTCCGGGGGCTGTTTGTGGGGATAACTCTGCTTGGCCCCCAGTAGAGGCCAGGAGCCCTTGGGACTGGGGTCCTGCCGAGCCTCTGCTGCCCCCTGCTGGTTCGGCTGTATCTCCCTCATCCTAGTAAATGCTACTCCACTCGTTCACTTAAAATGACGTCTTCCTTTATGGACTGAAGGTTGTTGGAGCCGTAACAGAGAAGTTGAAGCTGTTTTCAGCCTAAACTATCTCCAGAATGGCTTCTTGTTCTTCATTAGAAGAGATGCACTTCTCAGGTTTCAAGGTGAGCCAGGTAGCACTGGCTGTAGGAGTCTGGGGAAAACAGTTCCTTTTCTGGGGCCACTCTTCACAGAGCTAGGTAGGAGTCTCAGGTAGGCGCCCTTGAATAAGCAGGGCTGACTGGTTAATTCCATATGCTTTTCACGCCTTGCAGGTCAGTATATTCTACAACCTCCGTGAACAGCCTGGAGAACACAAAGAAGGCTAATCCAGAGGTAGGCGATGAACTCCGCCCTCTTGCTGTCCTGCCCTGTGCGAGGCAGGGGGACACACGCTCGCTCGAGCACCAAACCCTAAGTAGATGCAGGCCTGGGCTGTCGGCATTCCCCTGGGAACTGTGTCTTCCTCAAAGTATGTCTCAGCTCGTAGGCCAGTGCGTGGCACAGAGCAGGGGCCCAGGAAACCTTTACCACTGAAATGAGAGCTCATGGGTGGAAACGGGTGGGGCCGACCAGCCCCAGGCAGCAGGTCCTGGCAGTGGGCTGCAAAAAGAGCACTGGACTTAGAGTCAGAAAGCTGGGCCACCTCCCTGAGCTTCGCCAGCAAAGTGAGGGTAAGGACAAGCACATTCACCCAGCCTGCCTCACTGGGTTGTTGTAAGGCTCGAATAAAATGATGATATGTGAATGCTTTGTAATCTATGAGGCATTGTGTAAATATAACAAAGAATCATGCTACATTGAAGAGTTAAGAAGTTAATGATTAAGGTCAAATATTCAGGGACTTTGCTACTAGCGACAGAGAAATGGATTAATTTCCTTTAACTCCTATTCCCTTTTCTTTTTTTAATTTTTTAAAACTCCTCTGTGAATATTTCCCTATCTTTTGGGCTATGTTTTTCCCAAGAGTAGGATTTTCTCCCAACATAGTGTGGGGGCCTCCAGAAGCCCAAGAATTTGTCACTGAATAATGTTGCTTTCCCAAAGAGCGACCGGACCGTGAATCACAAAGTGCCACAGACCTCACAGATGCCAGGTTCAGCGAGGGCTGCCCCGACATATAAACCCTCTGAGGGGGATGATGACAATTAGCTGCTGATTAATGCCATCCTGCCATGACTCTAATTAGAAGGAAATAACCACAGAATACAAGTAATATAGCAAGATAAGGATCTCCTGCTGCTACCTAAACACCCATCTAAACAAAGATGTTTGGCTTTTGAAGCTGGGAGTTTGGTTCTTAAAATAGTGCTCTTTGTTGACAGTTAATTTTCAAGAAGACTGAAGGCTGAATTGTGATTATTGATGATAATTCTGTAGCTCTCAGTAACCCTCTGAACTTGCCAGTTTTGGTGGTTGATGCCCAGTGAATAGGAGCCTTTTCTCTGGTGTACAAGATTCGCTTGATTTTTAGGAACTTTTGTACCATTTTTTTCCCCTCTAGAAACACATTTATACCTCGATAACTACACGGGAGGTAATCGAGGAGGAAGACCCAAGTGGAAAATCAGAGGCCACCTACATGACCATGGTGAGGATGATTCTGGCCCCAGCTGAGCCGGGTGTCTAGAGGTGGAGGAAGGAGGTGGAAAGGACATGGCAAAGTCGTGGGTGGTGGATGTGGCCAGGCCGCCTGGGGAGGCGGTTGAGGGCAGAGATCTTTCTAAGTAGCAGGAAAGTCTGAGAAACCGAAGCTCTGCTGGAGAGAAGAGGACTGTCAAACTTGTTGCCTTCATACCCAGTCTTGAGGATGAAAGGTCATCTGCAGAGATTAGTGATTTTAATGGTGAAAAGAGGTAAAGAGCGGCCTTTGCTGCGGGGAGGAAGAACGCCTCTGTCTCACCAGTTCAGCCCTGATTAAACAAAACCTAACACAGAGAGTACGATAAGATCCTGGGGCAAGTATTGTGTTGCCAGGGATTGTTTTCTCTCCTGTCAAAAGGTCAAAGTAAAGTTCCTTCCAATTCTTAGATTTTTTTAGTATCTGTGACTTTTTATACCTTCACATAATCTAACTGCCAGGCAGGCCTCTTGCTGGATTTCATACCATAATATGGAGTCTGATTCCTACTTTCACTTTGTTCCGACTTCTGTAGCTCCCCAGGGAAGTACAGCACCTTGCCGGGTAGTGAGTAGGGGTAGGGACAAAAGGAGTGAGCTGGCAAGGAGCTCGACGCTATTTGTAGACTAATTATAGGCACCCAGCCCATTAAGGAGCAGTGTTCCCCCGGGTTCGGGAAGGCTGGCCTCCTCTACTTGTGGAATGATGGGCTGTGTTTGTTCCTGTGGCACCAGACGGAGGACACATGACTCCCAGCTGATTGCAGCAGAGAAAGGTCTGCCAGGGAAGTGTGAGCTCTGAGACCTGGCCTGGATCCACCAAGTGAAACATGAGCTCCACTCTGAAGTTGCAGTTGAATAGAGTCATTTCCCCCCCTGCATCCTTCTCTCATCATTGCCATGCGATGCTGCAGTCACCTGCTAGGCCTCATCCTGGCTTCTAGAAACCTGCTGATACAGCTGCCTTGTGGCTACTGCTGAGTGTGTCACCAGCCAGGGTGACACTGTTTACAGAAAGTCTCTGAGGTAGATATGACATAGGAGTGACACTTGTCTTCCCAGCTACCTTTCCCAGGTTCAGCGCTAGGTGCTTGCGGTTTAGACTCTGTGGAAAAGAACATCTCTGTCCTCTTGAACTGGATCCAATAGAGTGTGGTAAGAGGCCCAGGCCACAGACTCAAAGGCCTTCAGGGGCTGGCCAGATTATTTTAAAACACTCTGTGCCAAGTTAAATAAGTCTATGGGTGAATTCGGGACTGCAGGCCACTTGAGACTTCAGGTATAGAGATGTTCTCTAGTAGGGAGCAGGGATAACAAAGGACGTTTCATCTTTTTTGTGGTTGCATTGATTGAATTTACATACCTGTAGTGAGCACCTTGCTGATTCTCCTTTCTGAGGCTGTACACGCAATGGCTAAGATCACAAGCTTTGCAGTTGGGCAGACCTGGGTCCAAATCCCGATTCTGTGACTTAGCAGCTAGATGGTCTTGGGCAGGTAGCTTAGCCTCTCTGAGCCTCAGTTTCTTTATCCCTAAAATGGGAATAATAATACCTGCAAATGAGAGAGTGCATGTGAAATTCAGAACTGGGCCAGGCCCATGAACAGAGCTCAGCGAATGCGCTGCTGTTATCACTGCGCTGCTTCTTACAAGTGTGCTTTGTTCTTTCTCCTCTTCCCCCGCAGCACCCAGTCTGGCCTTCTCTGAGGTCAGATCCGAACAACCCACCTGAAAATAAGTCAGCTCGGGGAGTGCCAAAAACAGAGCAAGCATTTTGAGAAGAAAGGAGAGTTCCCGTCATTGTAGTAGTAATAGAGACTCTCTCCTCTGTGTGTCCTGAGCTGCTCTGCCCATCATTCTCGACTCTCTGCCCTCCCAGCTGTCCTCCTGTCTCCTTGCTTGGTCAGAGGGCTGAAGATGGAGAGTTCGGAGCCTGCAGGAAGACTGGACAGCTCTGGAGGAACAGGCCCTGACGAGGGGAGGGGAACACAGATGTGGCCTCTCTGGAATGGGACACTAGCCCGGGGGACCTGGCTGAGCTGCTGCAGCGGCCTCAAGCACTCCATCGGATCAGACCCTTTGCACAGGTGGTGTTCGTTGTGGATGTATTACTGGGAAGAATCACAGATGTAGAAACCAATCCAAACAATTCCTTCGGTACATTATCTCTAAATAAATGTGGTTTGTGGAAATCGTCTCATTTTTGTGCCCCGGCTGAGGGGCAAATGGAGTCCTGGTGAGGAATTTGCAGTCAGGAACTTCTGGAACAACTGAAGTTCCCTGGAGGAAAGCTGGATGGTGACTAGATACACTAGAGGCTGGTTTGGGTCCTGGGTAAGGTCTGGGGTGTGAATATGGCTCTGGGATTTAACCCAGTGGCCCTTCATTCCTGCTGGGGGTTGGCACTGCTGGTGGCTCCTTGCTGGGCCTCCCCACAGGCCTCCTGATTTGGAATTTCTAGGTGGAGGTTAGGCATCTGTTTTTTTCAAAAGTGGTGTTCATGGGTTGCCAGAGCGGACAGCCACTGATTTAATTCATGGTCCGAAATGTGAGGTTCCTATACTTTTTGGTTACTATTTTAAGATTTGATAAGGTTAGTCTTAAAAATCCTCTGGTTCTAAATGACTTCTAGCCTCTGGGGATCATCCTGGACTCGGCGCCAGCCTCCTTCCCTCAACTGCTACAGCTCTTTCTCATCCTCTGCAGCCCTGTCTTCCCACTTAGCCATTCAGGGCTGCATGGACAAGAGGTCTTTTCTGGTTCTCTGATTTCTTATCTAGTCTCAAGTGGGGCTACATTTCTGAACAATTCCCTTAGCTCTCCAGACATTAGGAACCTCTCATAGCACATCCATTATGAACTCTTTCTCCTTTACCAACTCTTCTGGTTTAGCCATGGGTAAGAGTCATTAAATGTTTCCTTCTCACCTGTTTGCTTTAAATGAGGAGCATGTCAATGATTCACATGTGTCTTGAAGGCAGTATCCTGTCTAAGACATATGAGGGACACGTACTGGTGTGATAAGTAGAGGGGGAGGAGGACTTTCATATCCTAAGTGTTCATGGAGAGGAAGTGGTTTCATTTGTGGGCTATTAAGCAACATTCTGTCCTGGATAAGGAGCGCTGCCTTTCTACTTCCTCAAATATATTCATTGGAGGATGGCCTTCAGGGTGCAGAGTTAGGTGGATGGATGGTGATTTCACATCTGTTGTTCTGGGTCTAAGAAAATAAGTGGGATAAGAGCTGGAGGGTGGGCTGGACAGCTTATCCTCATGATCCTCAAAGGGCGCTGTGACCGTGGAAATGTAGGTACGCGCAAATTTGAATTTGATTCGTTCAGTGTTGAGTTCCCATTCTGGGTTCAGCAGTTGTGATTGAGGAGGGGAGGAGGAAGCCTACCTCTCTGCTCCAACCCTACCTCCCCACAAACCTTCCTCTTACACAGAGGAGGGAAGTCAAGGTTGAGTGTGCATAGCTGGTTTTTTTTTTTTTTTTTTTATTGAGACAGAGTCTCACTGTGTTGCCCGGGCTAGAGTGCCATGGCATCATCTTATCACAGCAACCTCAAACTCCTGGGCTCAAGCGATCCTTCTGCCTCAGCCTCCCGAGTAGCTGGGACTACAGGCATGCGCCACCATGCCTGGCTAGTTTTTTCTATATATTTTTAGTTGTCCGATTAATTTCTTTCTATTTTTAATAGAGACGGGGTCTCGCTCTTGCTCAGGCTGGTTTCGAACTCCTGAGCTCAAACAATCCGCCTGCCTCGGCCTCACAGAGAGCTAGGATTACAGGCGTGAGCCACCGTGCAGGGCCTGCATAGCTGTTAAATACCAGTTGTGGCTAAAGGCAGAACAGCTCTGCAGGGGGCCATGAAAAAACCTGCTTGCCCTCTCACGCCCTCCTTCTAGAGGTGGTTGTCTATGAAATCCAGGAGCTGTGGAGGTGTATGGTATAGGGAATGGGCTTCAAGGTCAACAGGCCTGGTTCAAATCCTGGCTCTGCCTCTTACTCTTCACTAGTGTAGTTTACTTAAATTCTTTGATGCTCTTTTCCCTATATATAAAATGGAGATTTATAGGATTTTTTTTTTGCAAGGATTAAATGAGATAGTTTAAGGAATAGTGCCTGGTCTGAGCCCTCCATCCCTTTCCAATGTGTTTTCCCCAGTTGGATTTATCCTGTCAGCTCTTAGCACTGCCACTCAGGAACTGGTTCATCTTCTGTGTAACACTAGCCGGTTTGTGCTATTCAATCTTAATAACATAAGTAAGCAGTATGGGTGACAATATCTTCTGGCAATTCAGTCCCCATCTCTTGTTAATTTTGATTTCTATGGGCAGGAGGCCTTTGCCAAAATACCTAAGTCCCTCTTCCCACCCAAAGAGAGAGGGAGTTAGGAAGCTGAGCTTAGACAAGTGCTTTGCAGAGCTCCAAGGGGTGAGAAAGCTGCTGGAGATTCTTGTAGTAGATCCTTTAGCAAGTGGTTTTGGTACTTGCATTTGCAGTATTTTAGATGCTTCCAGTATAGCAGATGCTCCCACATTTGAAGGTTTCCAGAAGAGCACAGGCCTTTGCCAACAGAAATCAGCCCCAAGGGTGGAGGGAGTGGAGCTGTCCATGAATAATGGAGAATCTAGTAGCTTCAGAATTTGGCTATTGGAACTGAAAACAGTTCAGCCTGTCCACTGGGGACCAGTAGAAGATGAGCCCCCTTTAAAGGGCTGCAGCCTTCTGCCAGCCCTTTAGTCATTTGTTCCTTGTTGCTACTCCATTTGTCCCCCTCTTGACTAGTGGGTATGCTCACATGTTTACATTGGTAATCGGCAATTTTCTTTCATCAGACATTAGCTGTGTGTGTGTGTGTGTGTGTGTGTGTGAGAGAGAGAGAGAGAGAGAGAGAGAGAGAGAGAGAGGAGGTCATGCTGCCACTGAGTTAGCGTAATTACTTAGAGCTGAAGAGCTTTGGTTGTAAGTTTTATTTCAACACGGACCAGTTATCCTCTTACTAAGCATAAACAAAGTTTCTCAGGACCACTGACCTTCTGCTCTGGCCAGCTGGTTTGCAGATGTGATCTGGTCATCTTCAAGGGAGGTCAGGCAATCCGTTACCACTTCTGTAAAACCCAACTCTCAAAACATCTCTTCTTCATCAAAAAAAATAAGGGAACTTGGAGTTTTCTCAGAAAGCTAAGACGTTTCCTCTTTTACAGATGGTGAGAGCAATAGTGACTTACCTGTCCTAGAACTTTCAAAGGCAGCTATCTGAACTCTGCCTTGTATGTTCATGGCCTTCTGTGTGCTGCTGCCATCTTGTCTGCCCATCCATACTTCCCTTTTTTGTTTTTTTTTTTTCATGACAGGAACACTCTGCTCCGTATATTTTTGTCTTTCCTGCTTTGGAGCCTTTGCTCTTGGTGCATTCTTGCCTGGGATGCCCTTTCCCTTCTTACCTGCCCAATTGACATTCCTTGAAGGCCCTCTTGAGTAGTCTCTCCTGGGTAATCTCCTATTTTTCACATCTTCCTAGACATCTCTACACTTGATCAGATTTTAACTCCATTGTTCTCTAATTATTTTATGGGTATGATGCTTTATTTTCTCCTAGAGATTTTTTTTTTATTTCAGCATATTATGGGGGTACAGATGTTTAGGTTACGTATGTTGCCCTTGCCCCCCCTCCCCCCCTAAGTCCGAGTTTCAAATATGCCCATCCTTCGGGTGGTGCGCATTGCACTCTTTGTGTATGCAAATATCCGTCCCCTCCCCCTCCCCCCCTGCCCAACATCCAATAGATGTTATTCTTATATGTGCATTTATGTGTTGATCAGTTAATACCAATTCGATGGTGAGTACATGTGGTGCTTGTCTTTCCATTCTTGGGATACCTCACTTAGAAAGCGTTCCAGCTCTATCCAGGAGTATACAAGAGGTGCTATATCACCATCTCCTAGAGATTTTAAGCTCTTAGAAATCCTGCTTTAGGCCTTTTTTGTAATCCTTGCAGGATGTGACCCGTATGAGTCAATCTCTTGTTGAAGTTCCCAGGGAGTGGAGTTGGAACAGTATGCACAGGGAGCTGCTGGACCTGGCTCCCTGACCCAGTTCTACCACACTTTGGCTGGGGAAGGCCAGGCCGATGGAATTTCGGCCCTTTCCCTGGATGTGAAATAGACATTCACGCAGTCTCATCTGCTCAGGACCAGTAGGGGCCCAACGCATGGTCAGAAGAATAAGATCTAATCTCTGTCCTTAGAGAGTTACAGTTTAGTTGGGGAGGTCAGGTGTGTAAATAATGACAATACTCTCTGATTCTGTTAGCATGGACCCAAGCAACAGTGGGTGCACCTTTGTTCCCATACCTCCTGTGGGTGGGATTGTGCTCATCATGTGTATTGTGAGTTTATACCTTTATCTCCCTATCTAGAATGTGAGCTCTTAGTGAGTTAGCTGTATCTTATTTATTTCTGGGTCTGTAGTTTCTAGCCCAGTGTCTAGCACGTAGGGGCCGCTAAACAGATATTTGAGTTTGTTGGATGAGAGACTTGACTGATAAATGAGTGAATGCTCCCAGGGTTACAGGAGCACAGAGAGAAGAGGCATTTAGAGCAGGAGTAGGTGACTTTGGAGCAGACTTTTGAAGAACGACTATGAGCTTGTTGAGCAGGCCAGAGAGGAAGGGCATTCCTAGAAGAGGAAACTGCAGAGACAAAGACACAGAGATGTGAAGCTGCACGTGAGATCAGAGAAACCTCATCTGGTATGGAATGGCTTGAAAAGGGTACGGGGCAGAGCAGAGAGGCGAGTGACCTGAATCCCTGCCTTGCAACCCGTGAGCAGGCTGCTGTGTGCTCTGCTGACCACTCCTCTCTCCTGGAGCCCCTGAACCTCGCTTCTGTTGCCCCTGGCTCGTGTATGCAAAACCTTTTAATATTGGCTGAAGGCAGCGCTTCTCAAACTTTAATTGCTTAAGAATCACCTGAAGATCTTGTTAAAAATGCAAATTCTGATTCCTTGGGACTGGGGTGGGGCCTGTGACTCTGCAATTCTCACCAGCTCCCGGGTGACACCTGTGATGCTGGTCCGGGGACCACACTTTGAGAAGTGAGGCTCTCATGTAACTAGGGAGGCTCTCGATAGCCTCAACTAGGCATTCCAAAGGCAAAAGGAAACTACCTTCTGTTGGGTTATTTGGAACACTGCTTCTCCCAGCAGCATAGGTAACTGAGTGTTGTCTAATAAAACCTTCAGTGACCAATGGCACTGGGTAGAAATGCTAAACCCAGAGGTCTTCACTCCCAGCTATTTTGACATGTACAATCAATTAATGTTAACTATTCACCCTACTGATCTAGCAAACAGCAGGTCTTATTTTTGTTGCAGGCAGCGATGCTCATCCTTGACAATTTATTTTTAACGTAAGCCATTGTTTCTAGCAAGAAGCTGTAGAGAACGGCAGGCTTTTTCTGAGTCTACAAAAAACAAGTGTCACACATGGCCTTGGAGGACACGATCCTGGAGACCGGCTGTTCACCGAGAGTGCTTGATACTTGGGTATGTGTCTATGTGACCGTATGCAGTCTGTCCCAGCTGAGGATGTATGTCCCCGGGCTTTCGCTGATTGACCACCAGGGGCACACGTCTGCAGGCTTCACTTTCAGTAACTGGTCAGTGGAAGCAGAATCTTGATATTGTTGATTTTAGATGCTATCTTAGATCTTTGAGCACAAATGTGAACATTTACACCATACCTTGTGAAAGTTGTGAAATATTGAATCCTTAAAACTTAGAGAAATTGCCTCTGTTTTTCTAAAGAAATTAACTTTAAAAAACCCAGCTTTGATATTGGTGTCTTCATTTTGCAAAACACCTCTGAGTTTCTGCTTCCCAGGTTTTTACTGGCTCCTGGGGAAGGCTTACTCTTTCAGAGCAAATGGGCATCCGGAGGCCCAAGTGGGTCGTGGGGAGGTTTCGGGGTGGCTCTCCCCTTGTCTCCTCCCCGCACCACCCCACCTCCTCCTGCCAGGGCCCTGGCCTTGACCTGGCTGCTTCCAACCCTTGCTTCTGAGGGCTGAATTGGACAAAGGCTGTTCCAAGTCAGGATACCTAGTTCTCTTAGCTGAATTCTGGATAGAAGCGGAACTTCTGGATCCATTTCTTTACTCAGATGCCTCCAAAATAGAAGCTTCTGGATCCAATGTGAGACTAAGAAAGGTAGGCAGCTTCCTTCAGTTTCTGGGCCTCACAGGCACCCTCAGCTGTATTGAGAAAAAAGGAGGAGGCCGGCTACGTCAAACCAAAAATCTCTGGCAACAGGGCTGGGCTGACATGTGTCTGCCGCAGCATGGATGGCTGTGCTGCAGCCTGGGACTGGCAGCAGGGCTGGAGTGGAGCCGAGGCCTGGCGTGTGCTAGTCTGTCCCTCTGGGCACACCTATGAGCTGCTGACAGTGGAGGAGGCCTCAGATCCTCAGGGCAGTGGGGATGAGATTCTGGGAGTGGACACGGAAGAACACTTTTCTGCCCTGGCAGCCCCTCTCCTTCCCTGCAGTTCCATCCTGTGCGCTGTGTTCTCTGGATAAGCCAGCCAGAGCCAAACCCTAGCAATGCGATAGAGGCACTTGGGGACAGAGTCTGCATGGTCTGGGCATGGATGACCACAGAGAGCTCTTACACGATCCACCCCCTGCCTTCTGGCAACTCTACCTGGAAGCTCTGGCCCCTCTGCTCTTCCCCAGCCTGGAACAGCTTCAGAGGCCTCAGCTAGATTTCACTCCACTCATGATGTCTATTTCCCCCCATTTCCTCTCCAAATTCATTAATTCATTCAGGCATGCCCCGTGCAGTCATTCACTGCCTGTCTGCTCTGAGCAGGCTCTGTGCTGGACTCTCATCATGTTCCTGACCCTCAGCATCTTCTTTTATGTCATCCCAGAAGCTGATGGCTTTACCTGTCTAGCTAATCTCCTCTTCGCAGTGCCTCTCTAAATGACCTGAGGGTAGGTAGGCTCCATGTCTTCTTCCCTCCTGGTAAGCAACAAGCAACATGGAATACTGGAGACACCCAGGGTTTCATGAAGACCTGGGTTTGACTCCTGAAGCTGACGTTGCCCTTAACTACCATATGTAAACTTGGGTGGATTGAGCCCTAAGAGTCTGTTTCCTCATCTGCAATTAAAAAAAAAAAAAAGAAAGAAAGAAAAAGAAAAAAAAATCACTTATCCCAGGGTTAAGATTAAATTGAGATATCACATGTAAAGAGCTTGGCACAAAGTTAATGCTCAAAAATATTAGTTGCTCCTTCTTTGGTGCATAAATGGCCTTTTACCAGCGCATGTGATTGCTGCATGAGAACTGGAGGATGGGGTCACCTTCTCTGCTTAGGGGTACCTTGGCACTCTACCCCCAGGTTCTCCTACTTGTGACATTAGCTTGTTTTTTCTTCCTTCTTCAAAAGGAAAAGTTTCAAACACCAGAAGAGAGAACTGAATGATGAACCCTTTATACTCATCAGTTGGTTTCAACAATCAACCATGATGTCTAGTCCTGTGTCATCTAAGTCTCCTACCTCTTTTTTTTCTAAATATATTAAAACGAATTTCAGTCCTCATATCATTTAACCTATAAACACTCTAGTATGTATCTTTAACACATAAAGATGTTAAAGAACATAACCACAATATTTTTATCACACAACAAAATGAATAATTATTCATTAATTCACTCTAATACCCAGTCCATATTTAACTTTTTCCCAATTTTCTCAAAAATGTCTCTTTCCTGTTGATTTGTTTGAATCAGGATTCTCTGAAGGTTCACATTACGTTTGATTGTAAGATCTCTTTGGTGTTTTTACATCAGCCTGCTTTGACATGTTCTGTTTTCAGTGGAAATGCTAGAATGAGGAAGTCATTACTTCCTGAAAGTCTCTCCAACTCACTTCCCTGAACCCTTTCCAAATAACACAAAAACAAGCATCTCTTTTTTTTTGGGGGGGTGGGGGGAGCCTTTTTTGGGGTATCTTTAAATGACAAAAAGAGTTCCTCCCTTACAGCAGCTTTGAAATAAATGGATTCCTCTGATAGCTTTCCAAATCCAACAATCATCCAAGTGTAGTAGGAAGGCAAGATTTCCTTTAGTTCTTGTTTTAGAAGGTGAAAATTTCTGGGAATTTTGTTCTTTTCAGAAAGACTTTTTTTATGCCCTCCCACCTGCTTTTTGAAATCCACCAACCACAATATTTACTCCATTCCCCCCTTTCTCTCGCTCTCCCTCTCTCTCCCTCCCTTATACACTCCCTCTCTCTCTCTGCTTTTAGCCGCTACATACTAGCCGGCCATATTAGAGAGATGGAAATAAAGCCTCCTTAATGTTGTATATGTCTTTGAAGTACATCTGTGCATTTTTTTTTTTAGCATCTAACCATTCCACCCTCGTAGTCCTCAGCCCCTCAAATCACGCTCTCCCCTAGCCCGCCCGACTAACATCTCAGTCTCTGAAAATGCACAGAGATGCCTGGCTACCTCGCCCTGCCTTCAGTCTCACGGGGCTCAGTCTCTTTTTCTCTTTGGGTAAGTTAGACTCACATCTGCATGCTCCCGAGGGTTCAGAAGTGCAGCCGCAACTGGGAGCGGATGGGGGCAGGGGACAGGAAAGAAGACATTGCTAGCGCTTCCCTCCGTGTCCTTGGGAAGGGAGGTGCTGGGGGCCGGAGGGACTTAGCTGGGGACTGCATAACGCCGGGACGACTTGGTCACAGAAATGTTGAGTCAGGGGATCTGAATGATGCTCCGGGGGTGAAAATTGTCAAGGGAGGTGTTTTTCTCGGGATTTCCCTGAAATGGACCTACGCGGGCGTGGGGCAGAGGGCAGACTGATCTGCAGGGTCTCTTCACGGATTTTTTTTTTTTTTTGTAGTTACTGCAAACGTGGGGTCCTGGGATTTCATGCTTCCTTAAGGGGCTTCTTTTCGAGCCTTGATACTTGAAATCTGGTGGATTTAGGGTATTAGGAGAGAAAGCGTGCGAGGGAGCTGGGGGCAGAAAGTTGAGTCTGGGTCTGTCTGGTTTCCTGGCAATCCTGGTCCGACCGATTTGTTGGAATGTGTGTGGGAGGAGGTGGGAAGCAGGCTTGGGGAATGATCTCTGGGTTGGGAGGAGACCTGCTGAGGCAGGCACTGATGGAGAAGGCACCTCCGGCTTGGGCCAGGTGGAGTGGAGGAGGGGTAGGGTGAAGGGACTCAGGGAAAAAAGAAAAAAAAAAAAAAAAGTGAAAACCATGGGCTGAGCGAGGCTGTGGCCCTTTAAAGCCAGTCTCAGAACTGTCCAGCCCAGCCTTAAAGATTGTCTTGTGAAGTGGCTCCAAATATTAATTTCATATTTGACCACTCATAGACTTTCTGGGGGGGTTGGTGGGCTAGAAAGTTATTTGCAAGCCTGCTTTATCGGTAGTTTCATTCTTGCTCCTAAACTTACTCATTGCTTATGCAGCAACTGCGGGTAAAAGTCCAAGGATTGTTGGTGGGGATATTCCCCATCTCGAAGTCTCTTTCTCTTTTTCTGTGGTGTGATGTGCTGGGTATTGGGCAGCAGTTGCTGGACAGAGGCAGCACAGGGCCCCTGGCAGCCTGCATGGTAAGGCCTATCCTATCAGCTTTGCTCAGCTACTTGGCAAATGAACAACAGAGAAGGAATGGAAGCTTCCGCAGTAGAAAGAGCATGAGCCTTGGAATTGGACCTGGGTTTAAAGCCACCTTTGTCATTTAGTTAATGACCCTAGGCAAGTTACTCAACCCCTCTGAGCTTCAGTTCTCTCACGGGTACACTGGAGAATGCCTGCTGCCTGGCTTGTCTGGGGTCTGGCACACAGCGGGGCTCAACAATGGCTAATTTATGAGTGCTTGTCATGAGCGCATGCACTGTGTATCTTGTTTAGTCCTCACAGCAATGGCGTGAGGTAGATACTATTGTTATACTAATGTTATAGGGAGGAAACAGGAGGCACAGAGAAATTAAGTAACTTGCCCAATAAGATCACATGACTAGTGTAAGGGGAGCTGAGATTTGAACCCAATGTTTTGGACTTCAGCATATTCTTTGAGGTTGGACTCTACTGCCCCCAACGTTCAAGAAATGGTACTGCTATATAAACAGCATGTAATTGATCAAAGAATCTCAAACGCAGGCTCAAAGAAGGGGAGTTGGGTGTGTGGCCTGCCTGTAAGCCCAGGCTGGAGGACAGGCACCTCCCTCAGGAGTTAGGGAGAGCTTCCTGCGGGAGGGGAGGCAGCCTGATGAGTATTTAAGTGAAGAAAATAAGGGGGGCTCCAGGACCAGGAGCCCTCGCCTAAGGTGTGGCTTAGGGGAAGATGGAGTCTGCATGGAGAGGTCTGGGTGAAGGGGCTGGGAGTTGGTGGTGGGGGAGGATGCAGGAATGGAGACCTTGAACTTGAACTTGATTGATGCTGTAATGAGGCATGCCCCTGGCACTCCATGGCTGAGTGGACAACGGATCCAGGATGGAGGGATGGCACAAGTGACAAGGGAGGGGACAGTGTTATGGCTGGGCTTGGAATGGCTATAGAGCTGGCAAAGAGAAAGGGCAGGTGAGCAACTGGTTACACACATGGCAGAAGAATGTGAAACTAGGTTTTAGCTAGAAGCGATGAATGATTGGGCTTCCCTAGAGTTTTTTTCAAGACTGTTAACTTTGAGGTCACTGGCCTGGTTACCAAAGTCTAGATTGTGTTAGGAGAGGCTCAGAAAGTGGAGCCTGGTCCACACTCAAGCCCACTGCACATATCTGCTGCTTGGGGCAGGAACCCAGACATAGTGGGTAAGGTGTCTTCCCTCCTTTCAATAGATTTTTAAAAAATATATTTTAAAAATATTTTAAATTTTAATTATTTTTCATTTCAACTTAATTTTTAATAGCGTCTGACCAAATAAAATCATGTTATTTTGGAATATTTTCTGTTTTTAGATCATTAGTTATTATATTTTCTAAAATTGCTATAAGCAAAGTATTAGAGTATTATTTTACCTCCATTTTAACAGTAATTAGGGTTTTCTTTTGCTTCTACCAAAATTAATAAAATATTTTACCTTATTGTCATTTTAATCGGCATTTCCCCATCTACTTTTAATGTGCTGTTAGATACTGGCCTTTTTTTTTCTTTTAATGATTTTCTCATATTCTTTTTCCATTTTTCAATTGAGTTATGTGTTTTCTGTCGTTAATATTTTGTTCTCTTAATATCATTGCAAATAAACCTTTTCTGTAAACAACATTACAAATTTTTCCAGGCTGATTATTTATCTATTGATCTTCTTTATTTTTTGCCAAATGAATATGTAAAATTTTAATAGTTATATCAGCCTATCTTCTATTTTTAAATTATTATGGGTACGTAATAGTTATATACCTTTATCAGGTACATGTGATGTTTTGATACAGGCATACAATGTGAATTAATCAAATCAGGGTAATTGGAGTGCCCATCACCTCAGGCATTTATCATTTCTTTGTGTTAGGAACATTCCAATTCCACTCTTGTAGTTATTTTAAAGTATACCCTAACTCATTGTTGATTATAGTCACTTTGTTGTGCTATCAAATATTGTTCATTCTATCTCACTATATTTTTGCACCCATTAACCATCCCCAATTTATCCCTGCCTTCCTGCTACCCTTCCCAGCCTCTGGTCACCATCATTCTAATCTCTGTCTCCATGAGGTCAATTGTTTTTAATATTTGGCTTCCCCATATGAGTGAGAACATGTGAGGTTGGTCTTTCTGTGCCTGGCTTGTTTCACTTAACATAATGTTCTCCAGTTCCATCCATGTTGTTTCAAATAGCAGGATTTCATTCCTTTTTTGGCTATATACTATTCCATTGTGTATATGTACCATAATTTCTTTATTCATTCGTCCATTGATGGACACTTAGGTTGATTCCAAATCTTGGCTATTGTGAATACTGCTACAATAAACACAGGAGTGCAGATACCTTTTCCATATATTGAATTCCCCTCCTTTGGATATATACCCAGTGATGGGATTGCTGGGTCATATGGTAGCCTTCTTTTTAGTTTTGTGAGCAACCTCCATACTGTCCTCCATAGTGGTTGCACTAATTTACATTCCCTCCAATGGTGTACAAGGGTTCCCCTTTCTCCACATGCTCACCAGTATTCATTATTGCCTGTGGTTTTTGATAAAAGTCATTTTAACTGGGGTGAGATGATATTTCATTGTAGTTTTGATTTGCATTTCTCTGATGACTAATTATGTTGAGTATTTTTTCATATACCTGTTGGCCATCTGTGTATCTTCTTTTGAGAAATGTCTATTCAGATCCTTTGCCCATTTTTAAATTAGATTATTTGATTTTTTTCCTATTGAGTTTTGGGAGCTCCTTATATATTCTAGTTATTAATCCCTTGTCAGATGGGTAGTTTGCAAATATTTTCTCCCATTCTGTGGGTTGTCTCTTCACTTTGTTGATTGTTTCCTTTGCTGTATAGCAATAGACTTTTATTGAGTGCCCACTGTGTGCCACATACTGTCCTGGGTGCTTGGGATACCAAGATGAGTAAGAGTCAGTTCCCTGGAGCCTCTTGAGGAACACGGGCACACAAACAAATAATACAGCATTGTATGTGCTGTAATAATAATAACAGTATTAGTGACAATAAGAATAGCAGCTATCTCTTGCCAAGGGCTGCCTGTGCTAGGTATCACACTGAGCTTTATGTTCGTAGTAAGCCATTTAATCCTCATAACAGCCCTATGAGGTAAGTCTTATTATTGTCCCCTATGTTACAGATGAGGAAACTGAGGCACTGCAATGTTAACTATCCTGCCTAAGATCAGGGCATTAGAGCCCTGGTCTTGGCCACTATGCAGTTCTGGCTCTGAGTCATGTGGAAGAGACAGGAACAGGACTGGGGCAAGGACAAGAACAGTGGGGAAACTGTTCCCGAGGCTATGCCTTATGAGCTGGACCTGAAGGATAAGTGGGTGGGCCCCAGGGGCAGAAGGGTGAATGAGCTTCCCAACCTGAAGCAAACACATGTGCAAAGGCATGGAGGAGGGAAAGAAGGCAGTGTTTTCAGAAAAAGCCAGAGCTGGGGTCACTGGAGTGAAGGATGCATGGAGGGATGGGAGCTGGCAGATGCGGCTGGGATGTAGGCTGTTCCCCGATGGCAAAGGGCTTGGAAGCCATGTCCGGGAGCCTGGACTGGATCCTGAAAGCAACAGGGAGCCGATGGAGGTGTGGACTAACGAGGATGGGTTGCTCCTGGCTGCGTGGGGATGGACCGGACTGGGAGGGTCTGGCTGGTGAGGCAGTGCAGGTGAGGAGATCCGGCTGGATGCCACTCTCTCCTGGGAGGCGGGGCTTCTTCCCCCAGAGAAAATTTCTCTGCTTAGACATTCTTTGTTTTGTTTTATTTTAACCAAGAAGAAAATAACCTGCCTCGTAGGTTGCTGTAGGGTTGGAAAGAGGAGTGAAGAGATTAACTTCCAGTCATTGCAAGAGTTAGCGTTTGGTGGATGAGCAAATTTCATGATTTCTGCAAGGTGGGCCAGTTAGAACAGTGGATGACATGGAGCATGGGGGGCCAGTTGTGCTTTGGAGAGAGAGGGGGACCTGGCACTGGTGATGTTTTGGAACTGAGATCAGAAGCCACATCCTTACGCACCCCTGTTGAATATCATTTCTTTTCTGTGAGTTGGCAATCAAGAGACACAGGCCCCAGACACGGTCCCAAATGGGATAGCCAGGAAGACTGTGGGCTCGCCTTGGATGAAGGCTTCTTTCAAAAGGACCATTCCCTGCTGGCCAGCCTGCCTGGAGCTGGGGCTGGAAGCGATGGGGCTGGACCTGCCATGTAGATGGCAGGAGACCTGGTCCCTGGGATGCCTTGGAATGACAATCACATCCCCCCTAACTTTGACCCTTCAGCCGCATCTGGTGCCGGGCAGCCTGGCTTCAAATTCTAGCTTTGTCATTTATGAGCTTGGGCTATTCATTTAACTTCTTTGCGCTCCATTTCTTCATCTGAAAAGTGGAGGTGATAATAGGGTTTTTGTGAGTATCAAAATGAGGTAATACGCAGGGGGCTTAAACAGTGCCTGGCACATGGTAAGCACCTTGTAAGAGTTTGTGATTGTTATGAAGTCCTTTCTGTGGCCTTGGCTGTGGGTTCGGCTACGTTCCTGAGGCAGCAGAGATCATCAAGAGGCCAGGATCTTGCCGGCTCCTCTGACCCTACCGAGCAATGGTTTGGTCATCTTTAATGAAGGCCCTCCAGCCTGGAGCCTCTGAGGTTCTGGGGAGACCTCGGATTCTGGGATTCCGAAGTGGGGATCGTGGTCAGGAGCCACGACTCTGGCCTCAGCTTGTCCCTTTCTCTGTGTTTCTCTCTCCTGGTCTCTCTTTCGTTAGAACAATGGGGCTGTCCCAGTTCTGGCTTCCTCGGATGCGGCGACTCCCCTTGCCCTCGCCGCAGTTGGGACTTGACGTCTGCCCCCTGTGACCACTAGGGGGCGTACGCGCCCTGCATGGTGTGTCCTGCAGGACCGCGCTGCAGGGTGGCGCGGGGGAGTCCGCTTTGCACCTGTCCGCCCCGCTCCCGCCAGCCAGAAACGGCCCCGCGCTCGCTCTGCTCTGCCCTTCCCCGCGGCAGGGTGCTGCTGTCCCCTTCAGGATGGTGCGGTTCAAGTTCTAAGCCGGAGTGCGGTCTTGGACGGGGGTGGGACAGGCCCGAGGAGGACCGCAACCTTGAGGGGCAGCCAGGCGTCACAGGCCCCTTACTTTTTTTTGGTGGTGGTGGTGGTGGGTGCCTGGGAAGGTGGCAGACCTTCCAACGGAAGGGGCTAGAACGACAGAGTACTCCTGGGATGGGAGGTGAGCTCAGGACAAGCTGCTGTCAGCGCCTTCTCTCAGATCTCTCAGCCTCTGCAGAGCGGGGGTGGTGTTGGCATTTTCTGCACACCTCCTCCTGGCCTGGCACTGTGCCAGGCGCTTTCAGAATGGCTATGAAAGTGCAGGTGCTGGGCGCTGGGCTTTGTTCTTTCTGGCAGGGCCCCCTCAGCCTCCCCAATTGGTACTACCCTAATGAGCACTTAAATGCACATCTGGACTCCTCGGCCCTGCAGGTGAGATCTGCAAGCCTATCGCTCCATCTAGAGCAGTTCAGAGCATCTCCTGTTCCTAAGTCCTGCCACTTGCCCTGGTCACTCAGCTCAGAGGCTGGGCGGAGCAGGAGGCTCCGAGCAGTTTGATTTCCCTGCTTGCAGGTTGCAGGGCTGCTGCTTCTGGCACGGGGCTCAGCAGCTTTGTCCAACAAATCGGTTTGAAAAACAGGAGCCCTGCAGGCCTGGGGTGTTTGTCAGATCTGGGGGAATTCCAAGGGACTGGCTTGAGGGATCTGTCACCAAGGTGCCCTCAGGCCCGCAAAGCCCTTCCTGTATACAAGGTAGAACCTGAGGAGAATTTAGGATAATAACAGCTACCATTTGCTGAGCACTTACTGCTTATATTAATCATCATGACAGCCCTGAGAGGTAGGTGTCATCATCTGCGTTTCACAGAGGGCGAGACCGGGGCTCAGGGAGCTAAAGGAGCTTGCCCACGCTCTTGCAGCGGATTGAACTCAAGTCTAATCGGATCCCCTGTCTACACTATTCCCACATCAGCAGCCATAATTCTTGCCTGGACAGACTCCTAGCTGCGTCCTCCATCCGCAATCCTTCTAGTAACTTCCTATCACACTGAGAAGAATAAACCGCTAACTCCATATTCTGGCCCGCAAGGCCCTTTGTGACCTGGTCCCTGCCTACCTCTCTGACTGCAGGTCTCACCACTCGCCCCTTTGGCCTCTGCTCCTTCTGCCTCAGATACATGAAGCTCATTCCAGCCACTGGGTCTGTGCCCTTGGAACTCGATTTTTTCAGAGCTGCGAATGGCTGGCTCCCTCCATTTAGGCAGGTGCTGCCTGAGTGTCACCCCCTCAGAGCAGTCTTACCTGAGCACCCTACGTAACCAGCACCCTTTGCTTTATTTCTTGTAATCATGCATCATTACTACAATTTCAATGTTTTTTTCCTCGTTCCTGTCTGTCCCCAGAATGGAAGCTTCATAATAGAGTGACTTCGCCTGTCTTGTTCACAGCAATAGCCCCCAGGGCCTAGACTAAGTGCCTGGCACATAGTAGGCGATTTGAAAATATTTGGTAAATGAGTGAATGAATGATGCTGAACACTACTATTTATCCTCCATACAGAAAACTAATATATTGAGATAAAGTTTTGACAATATTGGCAGAGAAATCTTGGAGTTAAGGCCAGGGCTAGGGTGAGTCCAGTGAGGTGCGTAGGGCGTGACATTTAAGGAGGTGTTCGCGTGACCTTGAGAGTAGATGCCCCTTAGATGTCATGTCATAGGCACCTTGCTTGCCTCCCTGTAGACTCTGCCCTGCCTGGAATGTCAGTGGGACAGGACTTTCTCAGCCCCAGCTCCCAGGTCCCCTCAAAGGACTCCACAGAGCCTGCGGTTCCCACCCTGCCACCCTGCCAGCCTGTATCAGCGCCTTGCTGTGGTGTTTCCAGGCCTGACATTTCTAAAAGGGACTCCTGTCCCTGTAGACCCATCAGCTGGTACTTGGAACGGTGCCTCTTCTTTTGGGGCACCGCTTCCCTCCCACGGCTCGTCTGCCCTCTTTCCTGCCTGTCAGAAGCCTGGAGAAGGTAAGGGGGCTGGGCTGGGCTGGGAACACAGCTTTGCTCTGTCCCTGGGCTGTGGAGAGTGTGGCCTTCTGAATCTCCCTCTGTCTTCAGGCTGCCTGCCCCATGCAGGGCCCTGCGGTTTCAGCTGGAAGGGCTTTGGCCCAGCACAGGTGGCTAACAGTGGTGGAGAGGAAGGGGAAACGGAGGCAAGCAGACCGAAGCCCCTCGTCCATGGTCTTTAGCTAGCAAGCGGCACTGGCAGGTCTGGGGCAGGTGGAGGGGCTGCCCGACAGTGGTCCTGGGAAAGGCTTGGGGCCATTTGGCTGTCCCTACTTGACAGATGACTTGGTCTCTCTCCACCCCACCTGCCGCATCTGGGGCCCTTATGTGCTGAGCCCACTCCACCCCTACCCCCTCACCGACTGTGGCTATAAGGAACCCAGCCGCTGCCCACAGCTCTGCTCTGCCTCACTCTCCACACCTCACCACTGGGTACAGAGGCTTGCCTCTCCCTGGCCCTGTCAGCAAGAACCCTCACCAGCTTGTGGCTTTGTTTGCAGTGCCACCAGGGCAGAGCATGGAGGTCACGGTACCTACCACCCTCCATGTCCTCAATGGCTCTGATGCCCGCCTGCCCTGCACCTTCAACTCCTGCTACACAGTGAACCACAAGCAGTTCTCCCTGAACTGGACTTACCAGGAGTGTAGTAACTGCTCCGAGGAGATGGTGAGTCCTGGGGTGGGGGTGTGGGAGGAGGCAGGAGCATGAAGCCCCCTTTCCCACCACCTGCCCCTACACCGGGCCAGCGCCCCAGAGGCCTCTGGCTGGGCTGTCTGCTCCAGAGGGCTCCGGAGCAAGGTGTGTTGCTGCGCCTGGGTGGCCCTTCTGGAGGTAACTGCCTCTTTTCCCCGGTAAATGGGGGCATGGGAGGAAGGAGTGTCCCCACTATCCTCCCTCGGCCCCACTCCCCAGTTCCTCCAGTTCCGCATGAAGATCATTAACCTGAAGCTGGAGCGGTTCCGAGACCGCGTGGAGTTCTCGGGGAACCCCAGCAAGTATGATGTGTCCGTGACGCTGAGGAACGTGCAGCTGGAGGACGAGGGCATCTACAACTGCTACATCATGAACCCGCCCGACCGCCACCGCGGCCACGGCAAGATCCACCTGCAGGTCCTCATGGAAGGTGAGGGGTGGGGAGCGGCTGCTGTGGGGCCCCTGAACTTTCCCACCCACCCCGTCTCCGTGGTATTAGCCCAGGGCCCACTGGGGAGGCTGCGCCCTCCTGACGCTGGGAGCAACAGCGTGTGCTACGTGGAAGGCACCCACTCTTCCCTCCCATCCCTGGGCACCTGGAACATGTCCCAGAGAGTCCTGGTAGTGATATTGATTGTGATCACACCTTAATAATAATAATGGCAGCTTTCATTTACTGGGCACTTACCATACCTCAATCTTTATAGGGCTAAACTCTGTTCATGCGCTATTTCCTTTCATCCTCGCAAAAACCTTGTGAGGGAGGCACTATTATTATCCCCATTTTACAGATGGGGAAACCGGGGTTAGAGAGGATAAGTTGCCTAAGGTCACACAATCCATAGACTGTACCATCAGGACCTGAAATGGATCTGTTTAATCTCAAAGTCCACGCTCTTAAATACTCCCTCATACCGCCTCTTCTGGGGGCTTTGTGGTGCCCCAAGATTTTAGGGTGAGGGTGCTTAGAGGTCAGTCACCTGGGATGCTTTTTGGCTTTGACAAAAGTCCTGTCCTTGGAGGAGAGCAAAGTTGGGACCACCCCACACACGCCATGGGGAGCAGGGGGCTGGTGGGGGAGGCCCCTTTTCGGCCCTAGTGCTCAGTGGCTCTGCTTCTTTTCTTCCTCCAGAGCCCCCCGAGCGGGACTCCACGGTGGCAGTGATTGTGGGTGCCTCCGTGGGGGGCTTCCTGGCTGTGGTCATCTTGGTGCTGATGGTGGTCAAGTGCGTGAGGAGGAAAAAAGAGCAGAAGCTGAGCACGGATGACCTGAAGACAGAGGAGGAGGGCAAGACCGACGGCGAGGGCAACGCGGACGATGGCGCCAAGTAGCGGCAGCCGCCCTGCAGCCTCCTGTGTCCTGTCTCCTCCCACTCTCCGCCCTGTACAGTGACCCTGCCTGCCCTCTCTTGGTGTGCTTCCCTTGAACCAAGACCCTCAGGGCCAACCTGGGGCCTCCTGAACCTCACACTCCGTATCCCGCCCCCTGCACCAAGAGTGACCACCTCTCTTCCATCTGAGAAACCTGCCATGGCATCTGGGACGTGTGGGCCCTGGGGAGAGGAGAGAAGAAGGGGCTCCAACCTGCCAGTCCCTGAGAGGGGGGAGGAGGCGCGCGTGAGGGTCCCCAGAGGGAAGGGGGGAGGAGACGCAGTGGTGGGGGAGGAGGCCAGCTGTCCAGCCTGCCCAGTGCTTGGTCTGGTGGCGGCTTCAGGGAGGAGCTGGTGGGGAGGGGAGGTCTGTCCTGTGCTGACCAGAGCTGCCTCATGAAGGCCTCAGGGGTGGCATCGCTGTGCTCCTCCGGCTGTTCCCAGAGCAGCCCCATCGGGCTGGGGGTGGCGATGGGTTCCTAAAATTTGGGGGCGGGAAGGTATGTTAAGGGGATGACTGAGCATTTCCAGGGCGCAGGAGGAAATCCAGGGCTGGGGCCTTGGCCCGGGGAGGTCTGTTCTGGCCTCGTTTCTGTTGCCAGCAGCGTCCGCTGGTTTCCACTGGCTGCTAGTCCCTTGGGACTGCTGGTGAGGACAGTGCCGGAAGAACGGCTCCAGGTAGGGGTCGTGTTCCACCACGGGTACCACCAGCGGGACACCAGTTTCGAAGTCAGCTGAGGACATGAGGGGTGGGGGCTCCATGTAGATGGAGTTTGTGCAGACGGCCCTCCCCAGTGGGTGACCACCCCCGCCCGGGCCGGGCGCAGAGTGGGGCAGCTTGCTTTAGGGCTTCAGTGTGACTTTCCCAGTTGCCCTCAGTGGGGTTTCCAGCTGGCTGTTGGCTAGACAGCAGGGAAGGGAAGTTGAGGCAATGGTGAGGGGAGGCCTTGGAGCCTCTGAGAGCTGCAGCCAGCCCTGTTCCATCTGCGGCCATGTTCCACACTCCCCTGCCCCTTCGAGGGGACCAATGTCGCATTTGTGGGGAGCCAACTTTCACTGCCACCACACTCACATTCCAAGGGAACTGTTTAAGCCTGAGAGAGGGAGAAAGACAGAGACGGAAACTGCTGACTCAGAGAATACCACCTTGGAAAACTCTTAGAGATCAACTAGCTAAGTCACTTATACTACAGATGGGGAAACTGAGGTTCCAACCGACAGATACTGAGAGTCCTGCTTTCTTCTCTGGCTCCTCCGTCTCCAGTCTGAATCAACAGAGCCATAGTTTTCCCTGTGAGGTGAAGGGTGGGCTTGCCCACCCCTGAACTCTCCTAGGAACCTCTCGGGGCTTGGACTGGGAGGAGGGTGGGGGCGGGAAGGCCCCAGCACGGCCCAGCCTTCTCAGAGCTCACCCCCACCCCTGCCCGTGCTCAGGGAGTTAGGTGCCCAGGGCAGGGAATAAGTCTGGGGAAAGGGGGTGGAAACAGGACTGTGACAGTCTCAGGGACCAATCCTGCCTCTGCCCACCAGATGGCCAATTTGGGGAGAGAGAAATAGTGTATGGGAGGTTCAGCTTAATTCACTTCAGTTCAGCAATCATTTATTGAGCATCTGCTATGTGCCAGGCACCGTGCCAGGTGCCAGGATGCACACAAAGCCATACAGAGTTGGAGACTGCCAGGTCAGCATTGTAGGGAGTAGGGACCAAGATTAATTTTTTGGTGCATCTAATTCCACCTCTGCAGCCACTGCTTCCAGGGCTAGAGTTGGGGCAGGAAGGAAGAGATTCTAGAGTCTCGGCCCTGGGAAGGGAGGAAAGAAGGAAGATACGACAAGGATGAAGGTGCAGAGGCCAGGTGGTGTGGGCACGGGGGACCGGGGGAGATAGGCACCCAGACATATCACCTGGGTGAGGTGAGTCCAGCCCATCTGGGAGTTCTAACTCATCAGCTCAGTACCTAACTGCCAATCAATACACTGCCAACCGGGGTGGGCTAAGCCACCAGGATGCCTGGGGCAGGTGGACACTGCCCATCCTCTGAGCTGCCCAGCTGGGGGCCGAGAGGTGGGTGGTGGGCACCTCCTGCCAGCTGAGACCAAGGGTGGTTGTATACATTTCTGCAGCTTGCAGATTTCATTTTTTGGTCACCCCTTAAGTGCCCTCCTCTCCCAGGATGAGTGAGGATCTGTGCTGATATTGGGAACTTTTCCTTTTTCCAGGACTCATAACATTTGGGGGAATTATTTGCAAGATTCCCTAGTTCATTCTAGGAAATCCTAACTCTCCATCAAGAAGCCCAGGACTTCTGGGGTCTCTTCCTTCTCTGCGCTGTTGGAATGGGGCCCAAAGAAAGCAATGCCTCTGGTAGATGGGGCTGGGTCAGGAGCGTCTCTGCCCAGGTGCTGGCCCTGCCCTCGGATGTACTTTCTTCTGGAGCCTCTTGGAATCTCCTCCAGGGGTCTCACAGAGCTGCCTCCCCCAGGGCGGTGAGGTTGGGAGCAGAATGGGGTTTCTGTGAGTAGAGGTGGAAAACCAGTGAGATGTTTCCGCAGCGGCATTTCTCTACCCTGCTTTCTGACTACCTTATGCTGACGAGCTGTTCCGCTTCCTGCACTGTGGGGATCGAGCCCCACTTCTGGCTGCATGTTCTCACCACTGTGCTCTGCTGGTTTCAGTCTGCTGGCTTCTCCGCCGCCCCTGCCTCTCTCTCCCGCTCTCTCAGAGCCCTCCTCTCTGTCTCCTTCTTCTCATTAAGGGCCACTGCAAAGAGAGACAGGCTGGCTAACCCATGGGATTTAGCTTATAAGAACAAAGCACAATTTTTCAGGACTGAAATGCCTTGAGGTGCCTTGGAACTGGCTTTGGAAATAGGTATCCGCCCCTAGCTATGGACTCAGCACAGTTATTCCCAATTTATAGAAAGGAAAAGCTGACTGGATCCATAGTTCTCTCTGTGAGTCTCCTTCGGGAGGTTGGGCTGGTAAATATTTACAAGGTCAGGTTAAGCAGAAAGACAATTGAAAATACTGGCCAGGTCCAAAAGAATAGTCCCAGGCCACAGGAATGGCTTGGTGCAGTTAACGGGTGATGAATCAAGAAATTTTCCTTCCTACTTGTTGTAAGGATAGGCAGCCTGTGTCTCTTGCTGTGTCTCTTGCTGATGTCTTCCTGTATTGAAGCTTGCTGATGCATTGTACATAGTCTATATATAGAGGTATAGATATATTATATATACAAATATAAAACATCTCACTTCACCTGCCCCAAAAGTTACATTGTGGGGGGGGGAGGTGTAATCACTTCTCAATGTTTTGAGTTGATTCACCAAAGGCAAATCATGGAATGAATGTCCTTATTGCTCTTTGTGCACTTGGAGGGGAAACCCAACTACTTACGCACGTTCTAGGTTTTTGTGCTATGTAGTGGTTGGAAGGGGAGAGAAACTTAAACGACCCGCTGGGACCCGACTGCTGGATGTATCTGCTTTTGGGCACAGACTGAGTTTCTTTTGCAGTTTGTCTTATGCCTTGGATCTATCGGTGACAATAAACAGACTGTCTCCCTGAACGTCCCTCATGTGTGGCTTTATCCAGGGGTGCAGAGCAGGGTAGGTGGAAGCTTGGCCAGGATCCTGGCCTCTGATGCTCCCTTCCTGGTAACCCCATTGCACTCCAGATCTCCACCACCGGAGGCCCTCAAAGCTCTTGCCTTACAAGGACGAGGTCATCCTTCACTCTTGTTGATAGATGTTTCATCCTTTTGACTTCCCCAAGCCTCTGGGGACTTTACCCACTATGGGGAGCACTCTGGGACAGGGTGGCTGAGCACCTACTCCTTGGAGGGCTCTTGATTATTTCTGGGATGGAGACAACACTGCAAGCCCCCGAGGCTGTCATGTGGACATGGCCTATTCTCTCCGTGGATGGAATCTGCTCCCTGTTTCTCGACAGCGCCTGATTAGACAGACGTCTCTCTTGCCTGCTCCAGACTGGGGAAAAACAGAGTACAGCGGGTCAGAGTCTGTCCTTGTGTAACTTCATGCAGGAAGGTGGCTGGTGGGACGGGTCAGGTGACTCCTGTCCCACCTACATACTGCTGGATCCTATTCACATGCTGCAGAATTAGCCCTAAGGAGTTAAGATGGGATCGGGCGCGTTCAGGGCGGCATTGCCGTAGATCCTAAGGAGTTCAGAACCAAAGGCAACCCCCTGGCTAGGGGTGTCACTGTCCAGGACCCACCCTGCCCTTTTTCTCCCTTGCTCCCCATTCTTCTGTCTCTTTGCATTTTGCATCTCTCTCTCTCTCTTTCTTGCACACACACACAGAGACACACACACAGAACACACAAACACTCTTGCCAAGGAGGCTTGCCAGACAAGAAAAGCTTCGATTTGCTCAATGGCAAGGAAATGCTTAAGCAGTTGGTTCCACTTTTCTCCTGGTTTCTCTCTCATTTCTGTCTGCTCCCTGGTGACCCAGAGCCTTCACCAGCGGTTGGTGGTTAGGAATATTCCAGGAGTGTCCTGACACGGGTAGCCCTAATGCCTGCAAAGATTACAGCTGCCACCTGAGAGAGAAGCCAGACAGGAGGTGGTAGCATTAAACAAAGGTGGCTGGTACTTAAAAGAACCAAAGATCCCTTGGTTTAAGAAGATGTCTGTCCCCGGGAGCCTCTGAGTCCTTGGGATGTCAGGGAGGGTGCTTCTCTACTCAACAGATAGGGACACTGGGGCAGAAGATGTGGACTGAGCAGGAGAAGGCACCAGGGGTTCTGGCTGGTTCCTTCCGGGGTGGACGCAGGCACCTGATATCTGGCCAGGGCAGCAGCGTCTTCTTCACTGGGCTGTTCTCCAAAAAGCGAGAACTTGAGCTGAGCCTGGCTTCTGGAGGGTTGGATTTGGCTCAGACGCCTCCCCTCAATTGGTCTTCTTTGGCCCAGTCTGCTTGGGGCTGGGTAGGATGATCTTGATTGTGGAATGAGCTGCCTTGTGGGGAAAGGGCTAGTTCCCACCCTGGTGCTCAGAATTATTGGTCACTGGTTTCCTGCACCCCTCAATTGAGGTAGAAGTACCTGTACAAGAGCCTCCCAACTCCCACTGGAGCCTCCTCCCACCCGTGGGGTACCCCAGTGGGACAGCCATTGGCCAGCCCACGCTGGCTGCCAAAAGGAGTGGGGTGGGAGAGTAAACCTTCGCAACGTCAGAGGTGGGAGGCCCCCAAGGAAAACCTGGTCAAGCCTCCTCACTGTCCTGAAGGGGA